TGGGTTTCACCATGTTGGCCAGGCTGTTCTCAAACTCCTGACCTCAGGTGATCTACCCGCCTTGGCCTCCCAAAGTGCTGGGATTACAGGCATGAGCCATTGCATCCAGCCCCTTTCCTCTTTTGGCATCACTTCCTCTCTTCCTACCCAGTTCTCCTGACCTCCCATGCAGACACACAGAGCCCTCTCTTACAACCGCTTTTAAAAAGTACGCTTTTTATTTTTATTTATTTATTTCTTTGAGATGGAGTCTCGCTTCGTCACCCAGGCTGGAGTGCAATGGCACTATCTCCCCTCACTGCAACCTCTGCCTCCCAGGTTTAAGTGACTCTCCTGCCTCAGCCTCCTGAGTAGCTGGGATTACAGGTGCGTGCCACCATGCCTGGCTAATTGTTGTATTTTTAGTAGAGACAGGGTTTCACCACGTTAGCCAGGCTGGTCTCAAACTCCTGACCTCATGATCTGTCCACCTCAGCCTCCCAAAGTGCTGGGATTATAGACGTGAGCCACTGCGCCTGGCCCACTTTTCAATAAAAGCATTACATATATACAGAAAAATGCATAAACCATAAGAGTGCAGCTTGATGCATTTTCACCAAATTCATTATGAGCCTTCTTGTGTAACCAGTCCCAGACTGAGACGCAAAGCATTAGCACTCCCAGAAACCTCCCTCCTGTTGCTGCCCTGGTCCCCTCTCCCCAGCCTGAAGCCCCACCTCTATTCTAACTCCTGGCATCAGGCGTGTGTTTTGCATTTTCTTTTGTTGAATTTTGCATAACGGGACAATGCATTCTGTTTTCTTTCGCTATAGCATAGTTTTGCGTGGGGGAAAGACCATGCTGGAACTACTCTGAGCGACTCTATCCACTCCTTCCACCTGTCCTTGCAGGAGAAACTGGACATTGCAAGTTTCTCTCAATAGTTCCTTTTCCTGGTACTTCCGCTTTTTCAGACTGGTGCTAGCTAGACTGTGCCTGGTGACGTTCACTGAGATAAGCATAAAGAGGAAAAAGCCAGCATTTAGATCCCTGGACTGGCTGGGGATTTCTTTTCTCTTAAAGAAGAGCTCCTGACTTAGGATAGATGGCTTGTCTATCACACAGGGGACGTTGCGCCAGAGACTGTGGACATACACAGTTGCCCAAGAGATGTTACAGAACAGCAACCAGGGGCTCTGTGAGGAAACTGGGAAGGGGCCCTGCCTCAGCCTGGCAGACTCAGGACAGTTCCCCAACGGGCTGGCTTCAGCCCCTCCTGCATCCTCTGAGGAAGCCCCACTACGTGAGAGCAGTCCTCCTGATTGGCCTTGTGGAAAAGCGGTGCTGTAGGTGCTCGTGGGAACTTTTCCCCCTTGGCAGAGTTCCAGCTAGGTAGCTATTACTCTTGACCCACCTGTTCTCACCTTTTGGGGACTCTTTGTTCTCTGTGAGCTGCTGGGTCCTGTAGACTAGTCGCTGATAAGCATTGTGGTTGATATCAGTTTCCCACATTGCACCCTCTTGGTAAGGCGCTGTGAGCCAGTGAGCGTCTCTGTTCCAGTGGCTGCTTGTGGGGTGCCTTCATCTCCTTCAGTGCCTTCTTTCCTCTTCCAAGCCCTAAAGAGGCTATCACCCTTGGCTTTATCCTCCATGTTCCTGTCCTTTATTACATTACTTTGATCACAGATCTTGGTTCCTCTCATACCTCCTACTATCCCAATGCTATCCCAGGCCGAACCTCCATTTCCACTACCAGTGGGACCATTTCTCACAGGCCTCTGGCCAGTCCCTCAGACTCCTGCTCCTAAAACATCCTCTTTTCTCCTGCCATCACTGTGCCACTGTCCTTGCCCAGCTCTCCCCAACCCACCAGTCTCCAGTCCTCTTTCTTCTGCCTGGAGGACCCCCACATGCCCGCTCCTCTTCCCAGGCCCCTTGCCACCACCCTCTTCATCTCCCTGTATAGCTCTATCTAGAGAGCTGACAGTGTTGACTGCCCTTCCTGACTCATCCCTCACCATCTCCAGATTCCCTTCCTCATCATCTCCAGATTCCCTTCCTCATCATCTGATGCTTTTTTGAGGTCAACCTTCAATTGCTACTCGGTGCCTAGGGGGCAAAGTGCCATTTGCTGCCCTGCCAACCTGAGCCCTCCAGGACGTATCTCCAGCCACTCAGCTCAGTGGAGAATCCATGATTTTCCAGGCATCCTCAGTTACAGTTCTGCCTTTTCCATGCCTGCCACGTTTGCTGGTGCTGCTTGTGTGGGACATAGCACTTTAGAGCGGGACAGACATGGGGGAATACAGGGCTCCAGCCCCTCCTCTCACAGGGCATCCTGGTATCTCCTGCATGCCACCAGTCCATTGTCTTGCAGAGCCTTTCTGGATGGATGACCCCAGCCTGAAGTGATCTTTCCCTTCCTGAACTCCACTGTACTTAACCACGTGGCTCTTACTTTGTGCTAGAGTTAATTTTGCATCTGAATGTTCAGCCTTCCTGTGGTAGTCGGAATAATGCCAACTCTCTCTCCTCCCGCAAGGACGTCCACATCCAAGTCCCTGGAACCTGTGGCTATGGTTTGTTACACGGCAAAGGGTAACTTAGTTGCAGATGGAATTGAGGCTGCTAATCAGTTGACTTTGAGATTAGGAGATGATCCTCAATTATCCATATGGACTTGATATCAACACAGTGGAGGAGGGAGGCAGAAGAGTCAGTGTCAGAGTGCTGTGATGTGAGAGCTGCCACCAGCCATGCTGGTTGTGAAGATGAAGGAAGGGTCCACAAACCAAGGAATGCGAGCAGCCTCTAGTTGGAAAAGGCATTGAATGGATGCTCATTTAGAGACTCCCTCCCTCAGTGGGAAGGAATGCAGCTCTGGCAACACCTTGATTTTGGCCCATTGAGACCTGTGCCAGACTTCTGACCTCCAGAAGAACTGTAAGATTAAAATTTTGCATTGTTTTCAACCCCTAATTTTATGGTAATTTGTTATAGTGGCAATGGAAAACTGATACACTCTCCAGCTAGATTTTAAGCACTGAGAGGTCAGAGACACTCTTTATGCTTCTTTTTGTACCCCACAGGGTGTGGCATAGTGCCTTGTATACATTAAACACTCAGTTAATGTTTTCTCTATGGTTCTAGGAAATTCAGTAAAGAGGGCAAAGCTGGCTTTCATGCCTCCTTCTGCCCTCAGAGCCCCTTAATGCCTTCCTGGACTCCCATTCTGGCCCCTGGTCATTAATCTTTTCTGTGATCCTCAATTATCCATATTCCTGATTTTGTTTAATCTCTGTTAATGGATGATATCTCAAGGTTGGACCCTACCTGGGAATATTTGCATTTAAAAGGCTAGCCTTGTAGTTGTAAACAGCCACACTCAAAGGCGTTAAGGCATAGTGGTGAAGCAGCTAGGTGATGATGTTGATGGTATGGTCCTAATCCTCTGGAGGACAAGGAGACAAAAGACATGGGCCCTAACCTTGGCTTCTCCATCAACATCCTGGGTGTCATTAGAGAAACCACGTAACCTTTCTGACCCTGAGAAGTGCTCAAGAAGCTCTGCTCGTCTCAGGGTGGCCGAACCGAGAGCCTCAGCCTGGGGTAGTCTTACCCCCATGTGCCGAAGAGTATGGAAAGCCACAGGAGAAATGCGGTGCAGCTTCCAGTTGTCTTCATTTCAAATGGTATTTTTATATTAGAGCAAACACGAGGCCTCCTGATGCTCACCACAGGCTGCGTTCTTACACGGACTGTGTGGAAGGAGGCGGTAGAGTAAACCCACCCCATGTACACCTCAGCTCAGGCCCTGTGCCTGGTCTGTTCTGTGAATGGGGGAACATAGAAAAAAAAGAGAAAAAGAGAAAAAACAAAACAAAACAAAAACAAACATGAGTGCATTCCAGGCAAATCGACTCACTTGCTGAATTTCTAGCAGGTTGCCCCATCCCCATTTCCAGGAGACCTGGGGTGTCAGCCGGCAGGCCCCAGGCTGATGACCCTGTCTTGCTTGCACTCACCCTTCTCACCAGAGATGGGACTTCTCCCTTTATACACCCCTGGGCTCAGGCAGGTGAGCAGAGCCCTGGTCGCCTACTTGTTCTCTGGGACAACCATACTTCTCCCTTTTCTTCCCCGCGGTTTAGTTCCTCATCCTCTTGCCTCGCCTCCAGGTGTGATCCCTGTTACCTCCAGCTGCTGCGGGGAGCAACGGTGCTTCCCTTTCTGCCCCGACACACCTGGCTCCTGCCACGCGGGCAGTGGAAGGGCTCAGAGAGACCATGACCATGATAGGAGTTCTGGCCTCAGCTCTGCCACCAGCCAGTTGGAAACCCTAAGCGGCTCACCTCACCTCCGTGGGGCTCCGTTCCTCGCTGTGACAGACTGGGCTGGAGTATACAGGCTTAGCAAAGGGAGCAACCAAGAACCCGGGCCTAGAACTCTCTAGGACTCCCAACGCCCTCCGGAGGAAACCAGCCTTCTCATTATGGCTCACAGAGCACTTCCTGGTCTGGTCAAGCTCTATGTTGAGGATTTTGTTTTTATTCATCTCTTCAAACTCTATGGTCTAGCAAAAATGAATGACTTGAAAGTCCCAGAGCATACCCTATTCTCTCTTATTCACAGGAATGCTCCTCTGTCGCGGTCACTTTCCTGACCCCTTTCCTGCCTCTCAGTCCCTCAGACTGTTACTTTTGGGGGGACTCTGCAAAGACTTCACTTCCTGAAGCAGCCTTTCTGACCCCCACTGGGTCAGATTTTGTTGGGAGCTACTTTCTTGCAGGCCGTGAACTTTAACATGATTTGGGTGTGATTCTAATGCCCTGTTTACTCGTCTGAGTCCTCTTTACCCCATAGGGCCTATCCACTTTTAGTAGGCAAGAGATGTGGTTTGTTTCTGCGGAATCCTCGTGCCCAGAACTGCACTGTCCAGTAGGGTCACCCCTAGCTGCAGGTGGCTATTGTGCACTTGAAATGTGGCCTCTCTGAATTGAGATGTGCTGGAAATGTCAAATCCATGCTGGATTTCAAAGACTTTGTACCAAAAAAAATGTAAATTAATTTTACATTCTCATTCATTATTTTTTATATTGACTACTTGTTGGAATGATGTCTTAGGGCATATACACTGTTAAATAAAGTGTATTATTAATATTTATTTCACCTGCTTCATTTTACTCTTTTGAATGTGGTGACTAGAAATTTAAAATTTATAATCACATATAAGGCTTGTATTTGTGACTCACATTATGTCTCCATTAGGCTGCACTGGTATGGAGTGTGCTGCCTGGTGCAGGTTAATGAACAAACTGGTAGACAGATCTATGTGAAAGGGTAGGTGACTGTCTTCCCACCTCAGGCTCAGCTCATGCTGCTTTGCTTTGAATGTGACCCCTGGCCCTCTTGTGCTCAGTGCTTAGAGCTGGGCAGCCTGGCTCTCAGTGGTCAGTAGACCCGAGTCCCCTAGAGATGGAGCAGCCTGAGAGAGATCACTCACTTGAAGCCTATGGGCTCTGTGCCTTACCTATAAAACACCCCACTTGAAGCCTATGGGCTCCGTCTTGCAGGAACTTTTTGCACCTTTGTCCATATTTCCGGGAATAAAATATTAACGTGATATTCTGAACTGAACAGAACAGATGCTCATTTTGATCAGTTGCAACATCCCCTGATACCGTAAGGGTGTTCATTCTTACTGGCACTAGGTGAAGACACATTTCTTACTGTAAATTTCTCATTTTGTAATATTTGGATTCTGTAATCAGATAAGATGTACTGATGAACTTGGAACTTTTTCAAGGAAAGCTCTGCAACCATGAAAGAACAAAGAACCCTTTTCTTAATCAGTAACTGTACCTTTCCTTTGTGTGTGAGACTTCAGATTTTTACTCATCCTGTACTTTATGGGGTCATTGTTAGAAGGAGGAGTTTAGTAGACTGCTTATCACTGTCAGGAGTCTTTGAACTCTGATTTCCTGATGATTTAGTGGTTACTTGGAACAGCCCTGGGTATAGTGAGAACACAGTTTTCTTGAGATGCTGCAGCTCTAACTGGCCACAGAAATTCTTGAGTCTGGTTGATATTTTGAAAGCCATAGGCTTAGTATCCAACAGGCCTCAGATCTGACAGTTACACTCAGCATTTACAGAGGGCTTTTATAATTTCCAAAGTGCTTTCACGCACGGTATCTCATTTGGTCTGTACCTTCAGTTCCCTTTTAAACAAAACTCTTTTCAGAGATGCATGCACTTGCTGTCTTCAATTTCTTTCTTCTGACTCTTCATGAAACCTCCTGAATTGTGCCTCCGGGCCCACCGCTCTGTGGACACAGCTCTCATGAAAGGTCTTCACGACAACGTTGCTAGATCCCATTGTGGATTCTCAGTCTTCTCAACCCTCCTGCTGACCCTCCTGCCTCAGTCTCCCAAAGTGCTGGGATTACAGGCGTGAGCTATCATACCCGGCCACTTCCCTGACTTTTAATCCTGGAGCCTCCTAGGTCCCGGATCTCAGATGTCTTGTCTTCTCTAGCTATACTCACTTTGTTGGTGATTTCACTGAGTCTCATGGTTTTAAATATCACTAATAAGCTAACAATTCCTAAATATTTTTCAAGAGCCTAGATTTCTCCTCTTAATTCCAGTTTCACATATCCAAGTAGCTACGTACCACCTCCACTTGGTTGTCTAAAAACATCTCCAACTTTGCATTCCCAAACCGATGCCCTGGGTGTTCTTCTGTGGACTTCTCCATTTCAGTTAATGCCAGCCTCATCCTTCCACTTGCTAAGAGCAAAGACCTGAGAGTATCTGGGCCTTCTCTTTCTTTGCACCTGACAGCAAATGTTTTCCCCTCTAACATCACCTCATCCTGAATGTGGCTGTGTCTCATCATATTTTCTACTGCTGTCACCCTGGTGTGAACCACCACCATCTCCTGCCTGAGTTATCTCAGAAGTCTCCGTGCTGGTTTCCCATTTTCGCTCTTACTCAGCACATTCCTATCTCAACAGAGCCCTCAGAGTGATCCTGTGAACATAAGAATCGGATCATGCTGCTCCTTTACTCAACCAGCTCCCACATACCCAGAAGAAAATCAAAATCCTTTCAATGACCTTAGTGGCCCTGTGCAATGTCGCACTCCCCTGACTTCAGAATATTCTCCTCCACTTTGTTCCAGGCAGTTATACTGGCCTCCTTGCTTTGTCATTCAATTCCAGGTAACATGGTGTCTTGGAGCTTTGCATTTGCTTTTCTCTGGAACAATTTCTTTTCAGAGAGCCTCATGTCTTTCTCCCCTTCCTCCTTTATACCTTTTACTCAATGTCTCCTTTTCGCTGAGAACTTCTCTGACCACCCTACTTTAACCATGCAACCCCTGCTGCCTGCCTTTCCCGACTCCTCTTTCCTACTTAAATTTTTTCTCCATGGCACTTAATACCATCTAACATACTATAGATTTTGCTTAATTTATATCATCAATCATCTGTCTCAAACTGTCAGATGCAAGGGGGCAAAAGTTTTTATTTCTACTGGTGTATCCCCCAGCAGCTGGAACAGTGTCTTACCTATAGGGCATACTCATTAAGTATTTGTAAATAAATGAACAGTCCTAGGAAATAAGCATTCTTCTTCTCTTCTCCCCTGTATGAAGGAATTGGGAGCTCAACAAGACCCGAAACCGAACCAAATATTACAGGCACACACACACATACAACACACACACAGAGACACACACATACAAAATAAAACTTAACCCAGCACAGGTATAGCATAACTAAAGTGTTTGACCTGGCGAGGGGGTAAGAACACTGGGTCAAGACAGGGTGTACACTACTTGTGTTTGGTCTGGTTACCAAAAGAAGGTTATAACTAAGCCATAAACTAAAATATTCAGGTTAATGTTTCACAAATGTACATTTTTAGATAATTGTGTAAACTTTTCAGTAAATATTTTCACAATGACATCAACGCAACAGTCTTTCTAACTCTAAGCCCAATAGCAGATTTATATGCCATCACAAAGTTTGAGACTTCACAGCAATAGACATGCAAAATTCTTAAATAGGAGACTAAATTAGAGAAGGTTCAGTCTCTCTCATGCCAATATTTCTGGATCCTCGAGGTTTCAGCAGTTGATTGCCAAGTGCTGCTTAATGGGCACAAGTGACAACTCAAAGGATACCTCTTCCACCGTGACGATGCAAAGCCCAGTTTTATATAATACAGGTGAGAAAATAATGTTTCAAGTCTCATTTTGAGATATTCCCCCTCTTGTTGGAAGACTGTCTTAGCCCCCCAGAATTGATTAGCTGCCCCTTGCTGTAGTTAGGGCTGGCTTCATGGATGTGACACCCGTGAGTGACGCAGGTTCCCACCTTTAGAAGGGCTTTACACTTGATTTAATGCTTTGCTATGACTGTTTTAACATTCTTAATCATTTTTGAACAAAGGCTCCATATTTTAATTTTGCTCTGTGCCCCACAGGGGCCAAGTCATACCAATAAGTCATAGCTGGGTGTGAAGTAAGAAGCACTAAGGAAGGACCAGGACGGACAAGGCAAGGGCCAGCTTCAATTATGTTTAAACGATCATAGATGAGGTCGAGTTATTTGGTAGTTTTATGAAGTTTATTTGCATAAATTTCCTGCACATGTTTGGCCATTGCTTCATTTAATGATTCATTAAATTTTGTTCCATTTAAATAGAAGTTTCAAAATTCATTTCATTATGTTCTGATTGTTTTCCAGAACTCATAAATCCAAGTTTAGTGACATGGCATGTTATCCTTGGTAATACATTTTAACATTATGCCATTCTTCTGATGAAAGAGGGGGAAATGCA